GATCAGTGTGCGTCATAGCAACTGGTTGACCCGTCATTCTGGTTGTTCTGCCTTTGGTTGCTGGGCTTTTATTATATAGGATTTGCTTGCCCGCTTTAAGCATTTGGGTTATCACACATGCTGTATCAATACATTCTGTAGTAATACCAAATTCTTGACTTTCATTCTATAGTGTGTACAATCCTCTAAGGAAAGTTAGTGATCAAGCATTAGATGTAAATTTTAAAAAATAATTACTAGCAAAGACAAGTGGTACAAAACAGTGGTCGGCAAACTCACTAGTCAACAGAGCCAAATATCAACAGTACAATGATTGAAATTTCTTTAGAGAGCCAAATTTTTTAAACTTAAACTTCTAATGCCACTTCTTCAAAATAGACTTGCTCAGGCTGTGGTATTTTGTGGCAGAGCCACACTCAAGGGGCCAAAGATCCCTATGTGGCTCGCAAGCCGCAGTTTGCCGACCACGGGTATAGAACATCATTTAAGTGTTTGATGCATATTGACTTATCTTCCTTATATATGATACTGAGAAACCTTTTCTCAAGGAGCTTCTAGTAAATAAAAAAACAGAGTATGCCTATATTATTATAGTTCAAGGTTAAATGTAAGTAATGACCAGAAGCATTGGGAGTAGTGGGAGCAATGATGGTCAGTCTCAACTGAGAAGTTCAGGACAAAATCCATAGCAACAATCCTGAGTTGGTCCTCAGCAGTGAGTTTAATTTCAGGAGGCCAAGCTAGAAATGAACCGTGGTACCAATAGACTAGAACACATGTGCTAAACACAAGGCCTGCGGGCCAAATCCGTCCCGCCAGGCCTTGCAATGTGGCCCGCACCGCGCTGTCATCACTGCACTCCGCTGCGTTTCCATCACAACAGTTTATGACTGTTCAGTAAACCATTCGGCCTGCGATTTAGGCTGGATTTTAGATTTTGGCCCCTTCTCTGATTGAGTTAGACACCCCTAGACTAGAAGATGCTCAAGGATCTGCTAGGAATTTGGTTCAGCAAGAGAAGAGTATGAGATAAGATGATAAAAAATGAAAGTTTAAGTTTTAGGCTATGAAACTTGGACTGTTTTTGGGAGCAGTGCAGAGTGTTTGGAAATATTCCGTTAGAAGAGCCATATTCTTGTAGTTCTACCTTGGCAGGTTAATTTGAAACATTTGGCCGAAACCGGTTTGGCTCAGTGGATAGAGCATCGGCCTGCGAACTGAAAGGTCCCAGGTTTGATTCCAGTCAAGGGCATGTACCTTGGTTGCGGGCACATCCCCAGTAGGGGGTGTGCAAGAGCAGCTGATCGATGATTCTCTCTCATCGATGTTTCTAACTCTCTATCCCTCTCTCTTCCTCTCTGTAAAAAAATCAATAAAACATTTTTTTTTTAAAGAAAAGAAAAGAGAAACATTCGGTATGTAGGACAGGTTTGCATGTGCGAGCTAGATGCTAGGGAAATAAAACTCATTAGGACTTTGTTCAGATTGGTAAGATGAGAAGGAATTGGAGTCCACACTCAAGTGCGAACAGATGGTGATAGAAAAATGATTAGGAGGTAAATATTGGTGGGACTTGGCAACTGACCAAAATGAACACTGAGGGTTTTACAGCTTGTATTGCTTTTTTTTTAAATTCTAATAACTTTTTGCCTTATACTTTATCATTGTGCTGATGCGTGATTGTAGGCATGGGTTTGTCAGTGCCATTACATATTCACAGTCTGCTTTCATATTTCAAATATGATTTGTAATTCGAGATTTAAATACCATTCAGTTATGGCTAAGAAAACAAAACTGCCCATGTCGCCAGCCATTGCGGAGGAGAAGTAGTTGCACTGGTTAGATTGCTTCCTGTTTTGTTCTGTACTTTGTGTTGGCCAAGAAGAGAGAGCAGCAGTGGCTAGGGAAGATCCAGTGTAGCCAGTACAAGATGTCATTCTTAAATAATCTAGTTTGAAAAACTATCGGGTCTAGTAATAATTAATGTCGTTTTTAAACATTCGTTTAAAATCTTGCTTGGCGTTGACTTGTATTGACATAACCTTCAAACACGTGGTATCTACAGAACGTGTGAAGTGCAATTAACAAGTTTTGCTTGAAAAAGTTTGTGTTTGGTTTGGTTTTTGTTGCAAAACTAGGGCTAAGAAGATGGCGGATGAAGAGCATATTCGGCACTGCATGCTTTACGAGTTCCAATTAGGAAGAAAAGCAAGTGAGGCTGCAAAAAACAACTGTAGTGCTCTTGGTCAAGATGCAGTTAGCGCCAGAAAATGCCAGCATTGGTTTGAGAAATTTCGCGAGGGAAATTTTTCGTTAGATTACAAGAGTGGTCGGGGCCGTGTGTCCAATTTTGATCAAGAAGCTCTTCAAGCTCTTTTGGTGCAAAATCCTCAAATTACCCAACAAGAGCTTGCGACAACTTTAAATTGTTCACAAAAAACAATTTCCAATCAATTGCGTGCACTTGGCAAAGTCCAAAAGTTTGGAAAATGGGTTCCTCATGAGTTGACCGACAACAACCATAATCAAAGAGTCACAATTTGCAGTTCGCTCCTCTCTCGTCAAAACAGTTTGCCATTTTTAGAGCAAATTGTTACCGGAGATGAAAAATGGGTGCTGTATGTTAATTTGAAAAGGCGGCCTCAATGGTTGGACAAAAATGAGGCTCCGCAGCCCCACCAAAACCTGACTTGCATGCGAAAAAAGTGATGTTGTGTGTTTGGTGGAATTTTAAAGGAATTCTTCATTATGAACTTTTACCATCTAACCAAACCATTACAAGTGCAGTGTATAGTGCCCAATTGGAAAGGTTAGCCCAAGCTTTAAGAGAAAAAGAACCCGCGCTGATTAATCGGAAGGGCGTAATTCTTCACCACGATAACGCAAGACCGCATACTGCAAGAATCACTGCTGAAAAACTGCGCCAGTTGGAATGGGAAGTTCTCCCTCAACCTGCATATTCTCCTGATATTGCCCCTTCCGATTACCATTTGTTTTGTTCTTTGCAAAACTTTCTTCTTGGAAAAAAATTTAATAATGAAGAATGCCTCAAAAATGCATTGACGAATTTTTTGCATCAAAATCACAAGAATTTTACAACAGAGGGATTAAAATGCTTCCTGAGCGTTGGGCACAAGTAGTAGAAAACAACGGCAACTATATTGTTGATTAAATTTTGTTGTATTGTTTAAATAAATTCGATTTAAAAAAAGGTATTAGAAAACGACATTAATTATTACTAGACCTAATATTTAGCCAAAACTGATTTGGCTCAGTGGATAGAGTGTCGGCCTGTGGACTGAATGGTCCCAGGTTCGATTCCGGTCAAGGGCATGTACCTTGGATGCGGGCACGTCCCCAGTAGGGATCGATATTTCTAACTCTCTGTCCCTCTCCCTTCCTCTCTGTAAAAAAATCAATAAAATATTTTTAAAATAAATAAATGAAATAAAAAACTATTTAAAAACAAACAAAAACCTTTGGCTGAAATACAGTGTCCTTATAAAATTACATTGCATATCAACTAACATTTTCATGCCAGTGTTCCTGAAGACACTCTTGTAATGAAAACCTTTTTTAAAAAATTTTTTTGTACTGGAAAGCAAACTTTTTTTTTTTTGCAGTGCTATAGTAACTTTGTTCTTGAATGTCTTCCTCAGTCCATATGGTTATATGGCTGTATGAATATAAGATTCTAAATTTCATTGGTCCTTCCCATACATCAATTTATGCTTCACAAGTCTGATGTGTTGAATGCCGAGAACCTTCCAAAATAAATACATGAAAATAATTTTTTATACCACCTGCATCAGTTTACTTTCCTTATTCTGCCCCAGATACCAGAGAAGCAGTGTACTAAAGAACTTTAAAACAGCCGAAGCCAGTTTGGCTCAGTGGTAGAGCGTCGGTCTGCGGACTGAAGGGTCCCAGGTTCGGTTCCGGTTAAGGGCATGTGCATTGGTTGCATTGACATCCCCGGTGGGGGGGTGCAGGAGGCAGCTGGTCGATGTTTCTCTCTCATTGATATTTCTGGCTCTCTGTCCCTCTCCCTTCCTCTTTGTGAAAAATCAATAGAATATATTTTTAAAAAAGAAGAACTTTAAAACAATAAATGAATAGTGGGAATAAACAGTTTCTGTTATTCAAAAATGATAACTGGATTATTGGTGTGCAGGCAAATGTGTACACATTTGTGGGGTCAAATTGGGCTGCCCTGGTTCCTGAAGGAAAGCCCCAAGGTAAGGCTGGAGGTGAGATAGGTATCTACACTAATAAAAGAGGAAAATGCTAATTGACCGTACCTTTGCCACACCTACAAGCCACGCCTATCAGCCAATCAGTGTGAGTATGCAAATTAACCCAACCAGGCCAGAGCAAAGACAGAAGACTGTGTAGAAGGAAGCCAAGCGCTGCAGAAGGGAGCGATGCTGTGGAGAAGCAAGCAAGCTATGCGGGGGAGAAGGCAAGGAAGTATGCGGGGCAGGGAGAAGGCAGGGAAGCAGGTGGGGCAGCGGAGACCACAGCAGGAAGCCCTATTGCAGGAATCTTCCTGCAGGGGGCCTCTAGTGTGATATAACAGTGGTTTCCTTAGGGGTGAGAGTGTCTTGGCCATCCTTTCGCCATTTTGTTCGCTAACACCACTATGCAGGAGCTCTAGTGATACTGGACCAGTGGCATTAGGGCAGCTAACAGTGGCTCATTAAAGGTTTGTGCTTGACCAGCTGGAGTTATAAAGCCCACTGAGACTGGAGCTCCAGCTTCACGAGTGGGTCAATTTATATGAAGAGAGCTAACCTAGGGTAAGTGCTGCTTCTTGATTCCAAACTGAATATCTATCCTTTTGTAATATAAAATGAAACTCTGCACTGAGTAGCCATCAAGCTGGGCTCTGAATTATCCAGTTTCTGAATTCATATGCATCTTACTGTTGTCTTAAAAACAAAATTTTTATTAGAAATGTAATTCTATGTAATAGATTCTAATAAACTATTTCTCTTCAGCATACAAACGGCTAGATGGTTCAATCGAATGCTGTAACAACCAAAGTCTCACCGATGTGTGCTTTTCCTACAGAAATAATTTTAATAAGCGTCTGGTAAGTTGTCTCTGAAGCTGTCTTGCTTATCGGATAGAATTATTATATAATCAGATAGAGCTAAAATGGGATCTATGAAAACTTCTCTTCCTTTTACTTTGTATCATTTTATTAAAATCTCTGCACTTAATGTGTCGCATTCCATCTGAGAATCTTTAAAATTGTATACTGGTAATCTCTTATTTGGACAAAGTAAAATACTTGAAGCTGATTTATAGTCGGTGCACATAAATGGCATTTTTTACATGAAATTCTTTCCTAATATGCTAGGTGACATTTAAAGATATTGAAGGACTTGTAACTTGGTGATTTTCTTTTAATAAATCATTTTTTAGTTTTGACTAATTAATATTTTTTCCATAGCATACATGTCTACCTGCCCGGAAAGCAGTTGAAGCCACCCAAGTGTGTAGAACCAATAAAGACTGTAAAAAAGGCTCAAGTTCAAGTTTCTGCATAACCCCTTCTCTGGAAACTCACACCCGCTTAATAAAAGTGAAACACCCACCTCAGATCGATATGTTGTACGTAGGACATCCTCTGCACCTGCACTACACAGGTGAGTATTATGGTGGTAGGCCCTCAGAAAATCATTCAGATGCCATATTGCATTTGTTTTTGTTGTAAATTTGCTCACTTTTCAAAGTCTTGTTAACTTGTTCTTGTTTTTAATTTTAAAGAATTATCAGTTACAGTTGGCATACAACTTTATATTAGTTTCAGGTGTTGCTAACTTAAGTATTAAATAAAATTTAGGCAGTAGGAAAAGAGTCTGAATTTATAAAAGCAAGATGGAGCTGAATCCCATGTCTGCCTTTGGAGTGTAATACACTTTTCCTTCTCTTCCACTTATGCCCAAGTCATAGAGCTGGCCTCTTAGATATCCTGTGAAAGCTTATTAAATTTTATCCAAGCTCCCAAAAGTAGTGGCAAGCGCAGCATACCCTGAATGCCAGGGATGTGACAATAATTTGATTTGTACATGACACGTCAGTTTTATGTGAACATAATTTCAAAACTGGGCAGCATAATTATTTGAATAGTATAGAGCTTCTTCATGTGGCTGAAGATCCTATAGTCTAACTCCTCTTGTCTAAGCTTTTTAGTATTTCTTTTTGATATAACTTAGCTGAAATATAATTTACATTCCATACAATTCATGCTTTTAAAATATTTTTTTTTTACTGATTTTAGAGAGGAAGGGAAGAGAGATAGAAACAACAGTAATGAGAGAGAATCATTGATTGGCTGCCTCCTGCACTGCGGGGGGTTGAGCTCACAGCCTGGACATGTGCCCTGAACAGGAATTGCACCATGACCTCCTGCTTCATAGGAAGAGGCTCAACCACTGAGCCACACTGGCCAGGCAAATTCATGCTTTTAAAGTACACAACTTATAATTTTTAATATATTCAGAATTGTGCAACTATCACCAAAAATCTAGTTCCAGAATATTTTCACCTCAAAAAGGAACCCCATTCCCATTAAGCAAGCACTCCTCATTTCCCCCCAATATCCTCCAGCCTCTGGCAATGACTAATTTCGGTGTCTATAAATTTGCCTGTTCTTTGAATTTCACATACATGGAATATTTTGTGACCAGCTTCTTTCACTTAGCATAATGTTTTGAAAGTTCACTAAGTTGTAGCCTGTTCCAGTACATCATTGTTATGGCCAAATAATATTCCATTGTATGGGCATAGCACATTTTCTTTGTTCATTAATCAGTTGATGGGCATGTGGGTTTATGTTACTTTTGAAAAGGCTCTCATTGCTTCAGTCATATCCTGAGGTACAACCTGAATCATTTTTTTTTAATTTTATACTAAGTGATTCTAGATTACAAATATTAAATACATCCTCCACAAATGAAAAAAGGTCCCCTTTTAGGGTAATGCAGAAGTGTATATTGTAAGTTCCACTTAATTACAAGGAAGTTTTTAAATATTTGAACAAAAACCGGATTGTGGAATCCACATAATGGAAGAAACCTTAAAAATTCTCTAGTCTTGCCCTAACCAGTTTGGCTCAGTGGATAGAGTATCGGCCTTCGGACTGAAAGGTCCCAGAATAGATTCCGGTCAAGGGCATGTACCTTGGTTGCGGGCACATCCCCAGTGGGGGTCGTGCAGGAGGCAACTGATCGATGTTTCTAACTCTTTATCCCTCTCCCTTCCTGTCTGTAAAAAAATCAATAAAATATTTTTTTTAAATTCTCTAGTCTTAATCCTTCTTTCAGCAATGAAGGAAAAAACCGAGACCCAAAAGGTTAAGTGTCATAATAGTTGTAGTGAATGTAACTTTAAGGTTATACCTCTTTGAAAGGATAAGGACTCTTGATGTAAATTCTGTATTTATTAAATCAGTCTCTTGTGTTTGGTATTCATATTTGGTATATAGTTTATCTTATTCTCACCTCAAAATATAAGTATGTTTCTGTATTCCAGAAATTATTAGATATTCTTAGAATAATTGATTATTTTTATATGTGATACAAAGCCTGTCCCATATGATTGAAAAAGGTTTTCTCAACCAATTTAATAGGCTAGCCCAATTTTTATTATATGGTAAAATTTATAATGTTTATCTATATGAGTAATATGCATTATTCCTTTTTTCTTTTTTCTTTTAGTGAGCATCACCAGTTTTATCCCACGTTTTAACTTTCTAAGCATTGATCTGCCTGTAGTTGTGGAGACATTTGTCAAGTATCCTTTCTGTTGTGAAAATGTTTTAAAATGTGTTATGTGGAACTTGATCGTTCTTACCTTACATAGAACATTCGTAAACCTCACAGATATCAGTTAACAACTAAAGTAGAGACTTCAAGTTGAAAAACATCAACTAAGGAGGAAAGAAGTCCAAGGCAGGAGAGGAATTGAAAGGGAAAGAGAAAGTTTAAGGACAGGAAAGGAAAGGAACACAGAATACAAATTGAGCCCTGACCGGTTTGACTCAGTGGATGGAGCGTCAGCCTGCAGAATGGGGAGTCCCAGGTTTGATTCTAGTCAAGGGCATGTACCTTGACTGCGGGTGCATCCCCAGTGGGGGGTGTGCAAGAGGCAGCTGATCAATGTTTCTAGCTCTCTATCTCTCTCCCTTCCTTTCTGTGAAAAAACACTAAAATATATTTTTTAAAAAGAATACAAATTGAGAGTTGAGTTACAAAGGATGAAAACTGCAGTGACTAGTGAGGTGATGAATTCTGCCTCTTCCGGGCCTGATAGTTCTGAGCAAATGAAGGAATACATAAGGGACAGCAGACTCATTTCCACTACGAAAATAGGATTCAGAGGACAAAATCTCTTGTATTCTTTAGCATATTATGTTTGCATATACAAGGTGAACTTTTTAAAAAAAAATTATTGTGTAGGATTTGAATAAACTGAACAGTGTGGAGGGTTTCCTTTTGCCACTTTCAAATTTTTTAAACTCCTTTTCTCAGTGATTTGGGGGAAAATGAAATGGAAAACAAATGAGCAGTTACTAAAGAATGTGTACAATCAAGATTGTATCTTATAGATTGTAGCTTTGTCTCAGGGATTTGCACTATAAATGTGCAGATGATAGTAAAATAGAGTTATATTTACATTATTTATAATATAACCTTATAGATTATGGCAAAATAGAGTTCAAGGGGCCAAAACCTTTGTTTCCTAATGGAATGTAATACTTATAAGGATCAAAAAATAATTTTATTTCTTATTCCTTCCAAATTCCTTTTATCATTAAAGAATTAAAAAGACTCAGTCTTTCCTGGGGTTTATTATAGAATATCTTAGTTTACAAATGGCCTTTAGTTTTCTAGTCAAGGTTTTTGAACTTAGAATAATGTCATTTGTTTTCAGTAGTAGAGATCCAAGAAGGAATGGCCTGTACTGGTAGGCACAGAGTCAGACAAAGGAGGGAAGTCACCTGTAATCTCAAATCCAGTCTTGGTAAAGTATGTTCTTTATGCGATTTCCGCTCAGACCTCACCATCGGCTCCTTAACTGATTTTCACCAGGTACCTGATCTCGCTCTCAGGAGCTCTGGCTATTGTCAATGCAGTGCCCTGCTTTGCTCTGGACGGCCAGTGGATTCTAAACTCTTTCCTGGATGCCACTCTTACCTCAGTGATCGGAGACAACGATGTGAAAGATCTGATAGGATTTTTCATCTTGCTTGGCGGCAGTGTCCTTTTGGCTGCCAATGTGACTCTGGGACTCTGGATGGTGACAGCACGGTAATGTCGGCACTCACCCGACACAATCTGTGAGTTACAATATGCAATACTGAAAACCAGTACCTGGTGTGAAATATCAAGTGTTCCCTTAAAATGACATTTTAGCCATCAACTTTTAAGCTCCTCCTATATCCAGAGAATCCAAACGCTAGGATGGGGCTAACAGAAGAAAAGCCAGGTCTAGTCCTTGACTACATTCTAGTTTCAAAGACTGAACTCAATCTGCACATGCTTGTGGAACAATTCCTCAACACGTGCAGATTCTTGTTAAACCTTTTTGTGTGACTTCACATTGTCTCATATGAAGATCCTTAGACAACAAAATGAGTTAGACTATAGAATCTTCATAGTTTCAAAGGATAACAAAATTGGGTAAAATTAGTTGAGGAAAACTTCTTAAGAAATCATCAATCCATAGCTGAAGGAGACCAGACTTTGGCCAAGTGGAAGGAGTGAGCATTTTCTCAACCTGTACTTCTTGTCCTTTGTCTTGTTAGAAAAGTATTTTAAAATTTAATGGCGTATTATTTTATACTCTGATAACTGGGGTCTGATTGCAGTTCATAACATTTTATAAGAGAATCTGCTGACCCAAAAGGGAAAATCTTTGTCAAACGATGCCAAATAATTGAACAAATTAAGAAGTAGGGCCTATAATACCTTGACACAGGTTTTGCCCCACAAGTTACCTCTTTGCTAACGTGCCCCTATTCCCTCACAGAAGCACTTGGCCTTGACATTTAGAATCGGCTGCAGGAAGGGTTTCCCACTTGCAGCACGTGAGCTGGAGCAGTTAGGGTTGAACCTCAGAACTAAGCTGAATCTTTCGACATCACAAGCCACGACACGGGACCTCTGCGGTCCTGATTACCATTCTCTGCAGAGCTTCAATGCTTGGAACCGTTTCCAGGGTAGACCTTTTTTTTTACGCTACCGGGGCTATTTGAGTCCCAGCTCCCCGGTTCCTGTCTTCGAGAAGCAACTGCCTTAAGCTCCGAGCCATGCTCTGTCCTCACCAGCAGCTCCCACGATTCTCTGTTGGGCAATAAAACATCTAATCCTGGCCTTCCATCTTTCCCCCGAGCTACCTCACTGGGTCCACAGAACACTTGGTCGCACAGTGAGGACAGCTTCACATGAGTACCAACGTGGATTTGCCAGAGCCGGGAACCTACTCTTGTGCCGAAAAAGCCCCGCCCAGTTCAGAAGTGTATGAGCACTTGTACATGATGACAAATATGTCCTTTTCTCATACACTCAGGAACACTAGCAGTCCCGTATCTAACTTCTTCCCAGGGGGTTCACCTTTTTCAGATTAACGAGTTTTTAATCATTTTTAACAAACTCTTTAGACTGTATCACACAATTGCCTGCCTTCTTAAACAAATTACATATTGAGTATGATTTTAGTATTTTAAGCAATGACTCCAGGTTATCAGTTCTTGGCACTACTAAAACCATACAAATTATTAGCCTATCCTAGGGAAAACGTATTTGTTCCGTTTGTACGCAATCATTTCAGAATCAAAATGTATTAGCAGAGTAATGTTCAGACCTGTTCAGGTAGCACTTGGGGAATACCATGAAATACTTGCATAATTAATTTGAACACGTGAGCTGAGCGATTTACTAATGAAAACATTGTATACGTGCAGGTCAGTTTTTTTTAAAGCTGAGGAGAAAATTTAATAGAAAAAAATCCTTCCCATTAATTTTGTTTTCTGGGTGGAAAAAAAAAATCCCACCCACATTACTTTCTTGTAGCTTTTAAACACCTTGGTCTGTTGCTCCATAGGGTCAGGATTGGGGAGCTGCTCTATTAGGGTGCTGAGCAGATCAGTCCCAGTTTGTATAGAAATGGCCTCATCCTGTAAGAAAGGGAAGAAATGTTACGTGTTGTCTCTTCACCTTGATTGTGGCACTTATAGAGCAAGGACCATGTCATACTCCTCTTTGCATCCCTAACACAGTGCATGTGACATCATAAACACTCAATAAATATGGTTGAGTGGATGATAATTAGTGTTATTTATGGATTAGGGAAGCATGTATCTATTTAAGTAAGCTATAAAAACTATTGAATATTTACTGTAAATATATGTTAACATAAAAAATAACTCGGAAGGTCTGTGTGTCCCTGGAAGATTATCATCTCTGAAAATAATCCATTTTGATTTCTGTAGAGCAATTAGGAAAATTGATTCGTTTTGAGGCTTTGAAGAAAAGTGTACTTTTTGTTGTGTTGTTATTTTGTTCAATTAAATTTTATTTTCAGTGTTCCTCCTCTGCATTGTTTACATTTTTGAGGATCTTCAAAAATCACCCATGATCTGTAAAGAATGTATATATTTCTTTCAGCATCTCAGTTTGAAAAGATATGCAGTTAAACTTGACCTTTTGATAATCACTCTTGTAGGTCATTGTCTGTTCTAGTAGTAAATTGTAAACTTGTACTTCATGGATATGTAGCACTCAGTCATCAGTCTGTCCTATGGTATTTATTGAATGTCTATATACTAATGGTGCACAGAGATTTTCTTTCTCTAAATCTTTTGACTGTGTTGTAATTCACTCATAGGACTGAACTTGAAGATACCATAGTTGCTGGCATTGGATGTTTAGCAATAAAAGAATAAATGTGTATCAGCAGTCTATATTTTATCATCTGTGTGTTCTCTTTTAAAAAATACTTGTATTCTTTTCTATCAAAATTGTTTACATACAGTATGAACTTAGCCGTTGTGTTGATGTTTTTTATATTTAGAGAGAGGATGGGGGGGAGAGAGCAACATTGATCGGTTGCCTCCTGCATGTACCCCAACCAGAGATTCAACTTACAACCTAGGTACGTAAGTTGAATTTGGTATATGGGATGACTCTGCAGCCAAATGCACCACACTGGTCAGGGCTGATCTTATTTGTTTTCAAATTCTCTCTTTTTTTAATTAATTTATTTGATTTATTAATCCTCACCTGAGGATATTTTTTCCCATTGTTTTTTTAGAAAGAATGGAAGGGAAGGAGGGGAAAACATCGATGAGAGAGCCACATTGATTGGTTGCCTCCTTGCACGTCCACCTACTGGGCTGGGATTGAACCTGAACCCAGATATGTGCCCTTGACCAGGAATTGAACCCAAGACCCTTAGGTGCGTGGGGTGACACTAACCACTGGAAACACCAGTCAGGGCTTGATTCTAAAAGCAGCCTTCAGTTTTTACTCCAGCGATCTGTATGTGAAAGTCCTTGCAGGCACGGAAAGAAATCTTTCAGATTCCTGCGCTCTCACTACTGTTCTGGAAATGGCCTGTTTATGGATGAAGAAAGAGGACTGCTATCGTGTTTTCATTAGTGTCTGACAGAAGTTTTTAAATTAGTCTATATTTTTAGGAATTCGTGAAAGGAAAGTGCTTCAACTATGACATTTGATTCTTCTTGACCTTTTGTCCTCTGCTTGTCCGAAGAGTCTACCCCTCTCCCATACTTCATATGTACACACACATGCACACATGCATGCACACATTCTCTTTCGGGCCAGATAAAATAGACTGAAAATTTAACCCAATTCCTGATTGGTTGGCCTCGTTTTCCTCCTCCTTGCCTCTGAGCCATTGTACCACACTGGCCAGGGCTGATCTTAGTTGTTTGGGGGTGGAGGGGGCGGGTAATGGATTTTTTTTTTTTTTTTTACAGAGAGAAAAGGAGAGGGATAATGAGTTAGAAACATTTGGAACAGCTGCCTCCTGTATACCCCCTGTTGGGGATGTGCACACAACCAAGGTACAGGCCCTTGATCGGATTCGAACCCGGGACCCTTCAGTCCACAGGCCAATGCTCTATCCACTGAGCCAAACTGGTTAGGACTAATTGAACCTTTAAATGAACATGTAATAAGACTGGAAAGAAAAATGTTTTTGTGATGTCACAGCTATTTCGACTTTGAAGTAATTTTAAGCACTAGCATTTTTTAAATAAGAAATTTATTTTTTTTAAAAAACGGAGTTGTTGTTTTTTAATATATTTTTATTTATTTCAGAGAGGAACGGAAAGGGAGAAAGAGATAGGGACATCAATGATAAGAGAGAGTCATTGATTGGCTGCCTTCTGCATGCCCCCTACTGGGGATCAAACCCGCAAACACAACCCAGGCATGTGCCCTGACCGGGAGTCGAACTGTGACCTCCTGGTTCATAGGTCAACACTCAACTACTGAGCCATGCCAGCCGGCCAACAAATTTATTTCTAAGGTGAAGTATGTGATGTACTTTGAAACAATAATTGAATAATTCATGGTATTTTATCAGACCATGGCAAATTAATTCAATGAAAGGAAAGCCTGAATTTCAGAACCTAAGGCTAGAATAGATTATACTCGGGGTGGAGGTAGAAAAAAATGGCTAAAGGAAGTTGCAATTTCTAATTAGCAAGCAGGTTATATGGTTTGTGTAATTTAATTTTCCATTAAAGAGAGAGGAAAACATCCTTATACCTTAGTTTTATTTACAATAGCTAAAGATTGATAGGTATTCAATAATTGTCCCTGCTTGTTAACTGTTTTCTCAAATTCTGCTGAGGTGTTCCTGACACTTTAGAGCAGTGTCTTTCAACCTTTTTTGGGCAAAGGCACACTTGTTTCATGAAAAAAATCACGAGGCACACCACCATTAGAAAATGTTAAAAAATTTAACTCTGTGCCTATATTGACTATATATAAAGTAATTCTCTTGAATAGGAATCAAATAAACACAAAGAAAGTATTTTATAATTACTTTATTATGAAATATTAAGTAAACAAAATAGTGAAAAATTATAAAATTCTTGTCTTGTCTGCACCTACGGCACACCAGGCAACATCTCGCGGCACACTAGTGTGCCGCGGAACAGCGGTTGAAAAACGCTGCTTTAGAGGAGGGAAAACCCAGAAGGAGCTAAGAATATTACCCTGTAATTGGCTCTCCATCTACAAAATTCAAGTCACACTTTATTTTATTATTTTTTAAAATATTTTTGTTGATTTCAGAGAGGAAGGGAGGGAGAGATAGAAGCATCAACGATAAGAGAGAATAGTTGATTGGCTGCTTCCTGCACGACCCCTTCTGGGGATCAAGCCTATACCTCGGGCATGTGCCCTGACCGGGAATTGAACCATGACCTGGTTTGTAGGTCGACACAACCACTGAACCACACAGGCCAAGTAGGTCTCTGTCTCTCTTTTTTTTTTTAATTCATGTGAGTTTTGCATGCCATTAATCAGGCTTTGTAAAGCCAGTTCTCTTAAAGATAGAAAACTAAATGATAAAAGAATTAGATGCTAATTATATTAAGATTTTCTACATTTTTAAAATACATTGGTAGAAAGTAGTCTATAACATATGGTCTGTAGACTAATGGCAGTCTATGATAGTGTTTTTGTTTATTATTGAAATGAGAAAAATAAAGTTTATGTAGATAGTCTCTAATTACAGATTTTTTTTTAAAGTATGTGTGTTGTGCCCTAGCTGGCTTGGTTTAGTGGATAGAACATCGGCCTGTGGACTGAAGGGTCATAGGGTCGATTCCGGTCAAGGGCATATGCCTGGGTTATGGGCTCAATCCCCAGTGGAGGGCATGCAAGAGGCAGCTGATCTCTGACCCTCTCTCATCATTAATGTTTTTCTCTCTCTCCCCCCCTCCCTTCCTCTCTGAAATCAATAAAAATGTACTTTTTTAAAAAAGTATGTGTGTTGCTTTAAAGTTGCAGTACGGAAAGATTTCATTTCACTTAGCACTTCCAGATTGCTCTCCAGGATGGCTCTCCATAACACACTCCTTGGCAAGGCATAAGCATTTCATGTTTCCCCACACCCTTCCCTCCGCCTAAGCTATCTGACATCAATGTTCTGACAGATCTGTTGAATGCAAACTGGAATTGTTTAATTTGCATTTCTCAGACTATTAATAAAGTTGCACATCCATAAACTTGTTTAGCCATTGGATTTTTTTATCCTTCCAATTGCTTATTGATATCCTTTGCCTGGTTTTCCATTGAGTGTTTCAAATTTCTCTTACTGATCCATGGGAATTTGTTGTATACACTATATTAGGAGGTAACAAACAATAGCCTGCAGGCCAAATCCTGCTCACCACCTGTTTTGTAAATAAGGTTTTATTGGAACCCAGTCACTTTCATTCATCTATGTATTGTCTATGGCTGCTTTTGTGCTATAACACGAGATTTGAGCAGTTACAACAGAGACCCACAAACCTAAAATATTTACTAATTAACTGGTTACAGAACAACCCATGTTCTAAATATCTATCTCACCCACTTAAGATGTTGCAAGTAATTTTTTTTTATTGATTTTTCACAGAGAGAGAGGGATAGAGAGTTAGAAACATCGATGAGAGAGAATCATCGATCAGTTGCCTCTTGCACACCCCCTACTGGGGATGTGCCCGCAACCAAGGTACATGCCCTTGACTGGAATCGAACCCGGGACCTTTTAGTCCACGGGCCGACGCTCTATCCACTGAGCCAAACCGGTCCCGGCTGCAAGTAATTTTTAAAATATATTTCTTTATTGATTTCAGAGAGGAAAGGAGAGAGAGAGAGATAGAAACATTAGTGATGAGAGAGAATCATTGATCAGCTGCCTTCTGAACGCCCACCACCGGGGATGGAACTTGCAACCCTGGCATATACCCTTGGCTGGAATCGAACCTGGGACCCTTCAGTCCACAGGCTGAAGCTCTATCTATTGAGCAAAACTGGCCAGGGCTGTTGCAAGTGATTTTTTCCAATCCATCATCCAACTATAAATTTTCCTTTCTTGAACAAGGATATGTTTAGTTTGATATAGTCAAATCTATTAGTTTCTAATTTCATTGTTTATAATAATGATTACATAATATGCTCATTAGACCAGACATCCTTCTGGGTGAAGCTGGGGCCAGAGTGCCTGCCCCCTGGTGGTCAGTGTGCTCCTATAATACAAGGGGAGCACCACTCAGCCAGAAGCCCTGAGCCTGACTCACAGCTGGTGAGTGCAGCAGTGGTGGCAGGATCCTCTCCCACCTCCAAGGCAGCACTAAGGATGTCCAACTGTGGGCTTAGACCCACTCCCCATGGGGAAGGGGCCTAAGACATCAGTCGGACATCCCTCGAGGACTCCTGGTCTGCGAGAGGACACAGGCTGGGCAGAGGGCCCTTCCCCTGACCACTTCCAGTGCACGAATTTTGTGCACCGGGCCTCTAGTGTTACTATAAAAGCCCTACCCTGTCCCAAAATCATAATAATACTCTATACTTTCTTCTATTTGCTTTAGAGTTGTACTTCCACAATGAGATCTCTAATTTCTAGAATACAGGGTGGGGCAAAAGTAGGTTTACAGTTGTTCATTTGGAGAATAATACAATAATTAATAAATATTAATAAAGAATAATTCTGTTGCACATACAACTATAAACCTGATTTTGCCCCATCCTCTATATGGTGAGAGGCAGGAAATCCAGGTACCTTTTTCTGTGTAGAATAAATGATCTTTAAAATAAACACAAGTATTTTCCTGTGTAAGATTGATAAACAAAAGTTTATATAAACTAGCTGAAACCGGTTAGGCTCAGTGGATAGAGCATCAGCCTTGGTTGCAGGCAATCCCCAGTGGGGGGTGTGCAAGAGGCAGCTGAT